TGCAATGTCAGCAAGGGGAGGTGTCTCTGCCTGGGCCAGGGGTCACCCGTGCCACCCCCAGGGCCACCGTGGCAGCAGAAGGTGGCCCCGGATCTGGAATCTCTTCAGGAGCCGTTTTTGCTGGAGGGAAAAACCATCAGGAAAACGGGAACAGGCACAGGCTGCACCCAGGGAGTCTCAGCTTGGAGGGAACCCCTGGATCACAGCAGACAGGAAAGCCCTGCCTGGCTGCCCATCCCGAGCTTTCAGCAGCTCCAAGGTGCAGCTGCAAAAGGACCCATGCCCAGGGCTGGGCTCTGGCAGCAGCCCTGGAAGGGTAAATCTGGCTCCAGCTTCATCAGCTCCCTCAGCACTTGTCAAATTAATGGCTCTGGTTGGAGCCTCAGAGGCAGAGAGGCTGTGCAGCAGCCAGGGAAGGGAGCCCAGGGAATTGCAGGAGATGGAGTTAATGTCTTCTCTGAAGGGAAATCGGGTGTCAGAGAGGAACAAGGGGATAAAACACGACTCAGGGAGCCTGAATGCCCGAGAGGGCAGAGCTGGTGCCTCGGTATCCGCCACTGACAGAATCCCCAGGCCTTCATTCCCAGGAAACAGAGCTCATTGCTCACCAGGGAATCCGACAGCTCCATCCACCCACAGAGAATCAGGGAATGGCGGGATCAGCTCTGGGCCTCCCCACATCCCCTCGGAGCCCAGTGCTTCTGTCTGGATTCTTCTTTGAGGAATGGATTTAATGTGGAGTCAATTGAGTGGAACCTTTGTAAATGCAGGCATTTGTTTCTTGGAGTCCCAGGGGAGCTCCCATTAATTATCCTGGGGCCCATGGCCAAGCTGGAAGGGAATTTGTTTCCAAGGGAAAAGGGGCAAGTCACAGACAGATGCAGGGTGGGTTTCAGACACAACAGAAGAAAGGGACTTAAATCAGGGTTTAGGATCAGAAGTGATCAGAGTTTTGCCAGCTGGAACGTCCCTGCACATTTTAGGCCACCCGGCAAGGTGGGACAAGGAGAGGCTGCTCCTGCAGGATGGCAGTGCCTGGCCTGGGCTCGATCCTGCCACCCCCAAACACACCATGGCTCCTCCTGCCAGGTGTCCTGGAGCTCCCCTCCGGCCCAGCACAGAGCCTGGGGCAGCAAAATTCCTTTTGCAGATTCCTCTTTTCTCCTGAGCCAAGGTGGAACTGAGCCCCACAAGCGCTCCGTGGTCCTTCACCTCCTGCTTTGCTCCACCAGGGGCTGGAGGTGCAAGGAGGGCTCTGGTGGCACTGCAGCCCTGGCAGAGAGTGCCTGGAGCTCCTGGGAGGAGCTTCCAGAGAATCCATGCTGCATGCAGGCAGCAGTTCTGGTGTTAGGAACCAAAATGAGCCCAAATCAAGCCTTTGGAAAAGGCAACAGCATGGATGAGAACCTGGAAAAGTAGGAGACCAGCACAGTCCTCCAGGTTCAGACATTTCTGGGAGAAAGGCAGGGAGCAGAGACGGGGGGAGCTGTGGCTGCCCTGGATCCCTGGCAGTGCCCAAGGCCAGGCTGGACACTGGGGCTGGAGCACCCTGGGGCAGTGGGAGGTGTCCCTGCCATGGCAGCGGGGGCACTGGGTGGGATTTAAGGTCCCTTGTTATCCCTCTCACCTCAGGGAAGGGGGGAAGGACAAGGGGAGCTGTCCCCCACCACAGGCAGCACAGAGCCCAGCCCCGAGGGACACAAACCCTGGACCCAAGGAGAGCACAGCACATCCCAAAAGCGACCACAGAAACCCAAGGTCAACAGGACAAGTATCTGGAAAGAAGCAGGAGCAGCTCCACGTGAACTCCTGGGGCACTTCCCTCCTCAGACAAGTGTTTGTTGTGCAATCTCGAATGGTGGCGTCCAGAGACTCTGAATCCAAACTTGCCATTTCCTGATCCAAGATGCTGCAGAAATCAGCTGGGAGCTGGCTGCTCGGATGAAATCCCTCCCCAAAAGCAGCCCGTGGGTTTGCCATGGAGCCTGGGAACAGAGCATGGCTGGAATGGCTCTGGTTCTGCTCTTCCCTGTGAGTCCAAGCGAGAGAATTCCTTTTACGTTCATCTGTCCTCATGGAAGCCTGGAAGAGGAGAAGAGATAAATGATTATAAATGATTAACATTATCTAAATATAATTCCTTCATTCTGAGAGCCTTTGTGACACACTCCCCTGGGAAATACTCTCAGCTGAAATGGAATTCTGCTCCGTTCCTCACAGATCTCCCATTGCTCTTGTGAAACACACGAGGCATTAAATGTCAGCAGTAACAATGTCAATAACGGTGTCCTGGTGAGAACCCAACAGGCAGCTTGGAAATGCAGGCAGACGGGGAAATACTGGGAAAAACCCACCTTAAACATTCCTTCCCAAATCCTGCAGCTGCTCTGGATAAAGATCCATCAAGGTGGGATGTGTGTGAAAAACAGGGTTAGCAAAAGAAAAATGGTTTTTCAGTGGTGTTTAAAGAGTTAGAAATGATGGTTGAAAAATTTCGATTCCTGCCCTGCCCCAGCATTCCAGGAGCCAGCTGGTTGTGGGACACAGGGTGGGATTGCTGGGGTGTCTGTGCAGGGCCAGCAGCCTGACTGGATGATCCCTGTGTGTCCCTCCAACTCTGGATATTCCATGATTCTGTCAGGCTGCCAGGGTGGGAGCCACGGCTCCAACTCCATTTCCCAACATCCTTTAGAAAGACAGGAGATAATCAATATTTTCCTACTGATTAGATGATAAAAGGGAGATGATAAAAGGGAGGAATAAAAATTGCATTGGTCAGTCAGCTACTGCACACAGCAGCAGATAAAATAATTACTGAGCACTCGTGGGGCTCAGGCTCATTCCAGTGATTCATGGGGATGTTGGGAAGCTGTGCTGGGACTGAAGGGCATCTGCAGTTTGTGCCTTGGAGCCCACTCAATCCATAAATATGTGGGATGGGAGCTGTGACTCCTGCCCTGCAGCAGCAGCACCCCAAGTGCCGTGTCCATGGCCATGGCACAGAGAGGAGCAGTGCCCAAGCTCCAGAGTGGCCCTGCACTGGGAATTGTGAGCTCAGCATTCCTGGTGCCCAGCTCCTCTCCTGGTGACACAGAGTGCAGTGACAGAACTTTCCTGTAAATGAATGCTGGAGTTTCTAAGAACTCTTCTGACTAATGTGGCTCAGTCTTGGCTGGAGGACACAAACCCTTCATCAAACACAGTGAGAAATGCCAGAGAACGCTCAAATCCAGGGAATGTGAGGCTGGGAGGGAGCAGGCTGACCCCAGCACTCAGAATGCTGGGGCTGGGAGCCAGGCCCTGCCTTGGGCTTAGCTGGGCTGGATTCAGGGCTTAGTGCTGGTCCTTTGATCCCCAAGGGTAAAGGTATCCTCAGCCAACACGAGGGATTGGGGCCTCAGCATGGAAACCGAATTGCCCTGGAAGTGCAGTGAATCTGAATCCAATCTGCAACAGCAAATCCAAGGAAAAACACATCCTCTGGCTTTCAGAAATATGGAATATGGGAAATACAACCCAGACCTGGGATCAGCCCACAGCAGGGGCACAGGGTGGCTCCAGAGCTGCCATGAAGCAGGAGATACTGAAACATCCCCGAGGATTCTCTCCTGCTCAGAGGGATGGAATCCTGGAATAGCCTGAGCTGGATCCCACAGGGATCACCCAGCCCAAGGCCTGGCCCTGCACACACACCCCAATGCTGCCACCCTGTGCCTGAGCACTGTCCAAGCAGTCCCCGAGCTCTGGCCGGGCTGGGACCTGGGATAAACTCTGGATAATCAGGGCATGAGGAGGTCACTGCACTCTCCCACAAGCTCCCTAAAAGGAGACCAGGTCCTGGCGGGTCCAGGCCCAGAGCCAGCCTCAGGCTGATATCCCACGGGTCAATGAAATCACTGAGCACTTCCCTGCTGGCACGGGTGTCTGTCCTTCCCCAGGGCAATGGGACAAGGAAATCCAGGGCAGCAGGAGGCTGAGGAAGCCCAGCAGCTTTCAGCTTTTCATTCCATGGGAGACGTTCCTGGGACACAAAGCAGCCCCTGCTGCTCCCCACACACCAGGCAGCAGCTCCAGGGCACAGACAGGGCTGGGCTGCCTGGAAAAGCACCTGGATCTGAGGGACTGCCCATGGAGGGGCTGCAGGAGCTGACCTGGTGTAACCAGGAACCCACCTCTGTGGGGACAAGGGAAAAAGGGCACTGCCTTCATGGACACTGGGGAGGGATGGATGGGACCCTGGGCAGGAATTGTTCCTGGCAGGGTGGGCAGCCCTGGAACAGAATTCCCAGAGCAGCTGGGGCTGCCCCTGCATCCCTGGCAGTGCCCAAGGCCAGGCTGGACACTGGGGCTGGAGCAACCTTGGACAGTGGGAGGTGTCCCTGCCATGGCAGGGGTGGCACTGGCTGGGCTCTGAGGCCCATTCCAACCCAGTCTGGGATGCTGTGGGATGAGGAGGGCTGGGTGGGAACACCTTCACTTGGGTTTTGTCAGGATTTAATCCCTCTGTGCTATGAAGGTTATTCTGGCTGTGGCCAGTACAGAATTGTCCTGCCTCAGCTCCATTCCCCTCCTGCCTTCCCACAGGAAAATCCCAACAGCTCCAGGGTCACTCCATCCTCTGATTCTGAACACAAAGAGCACGTGAACAGGGGAATATAAGCAAGGAAAAGAAAAGCAGGTTTTAATTAAAAGAATTCCAATCATTCCCACAGCACATGATTTTTTTCGAATGACAAAGATTCCTCTTTAGAAACTTATTATTTGCCAGGTGTTGGATTTCACTTCAGCTTCAATGTTGCATCAAGAGAAGGAAAGGCAGCAAGAAAAGGAAAAGCTTTTACGCAAATCTCCAACCTAATTAAAATAAATCTGAGGTCAATCAGGTTTTTGAGCTGAGCTGATGGGTGAGAAGAGAAGAGCAGCAAGAGGCAGCAGCCCCTGTGCCCCCAACCCTGCAGGAGCAGGAGGAACACTGAGCTCTGCTGGTAAAGAAAAGGCAAAGCAAGAGGGGATTGGTTTTCCGTGTCCTCGTCCACAGCCATGTCCAGTTCCAAGGTCCTTATTGACCCTCAAGGTTCATGGAAACTGCAGGAAAGAAAGGGAGGGATCAGTGTGCTCTGCCCTTCCATCAACCACACATTCTAATCTCCTTTTCATAAATTAAAGTCACATTTAGCATTTGATTCTCCTGAATCCATGGGGAGCTGTGCCTGAGCAGGGCTGCACACAGGGAAACTTTCCCTCCCCAGCCCAGGGTCCACCAGGGAGGAGCTGAGGCTCAGCCCCTGGGAAAGGCTGGCTGGGGATGATTTTTAGAGAGGAACTCCCCACTCACCGCAGCCTCCAGGGCCTGGTCCAGGTCTGCCAGCAGATCCTCCTCATCCTCCAGCCCCACCGAGAGGCGGATCAAGGTGTCACTGATTCCCACTGCTCTCATTTCCTCCTTAGGCACCCTGGAATGGGTCATGGTGGCCCTGAAAGGACAAAAACCATTTTATCCCAAGAATTTGGGACTTGGATTGGTAAAACCAGCCTGGCTGGTTCCCTGCCAGCACCCCTGAAATGCAGCAGGATCTGACACCTCCTCTGTGCCACCTGTGTGACCCCACAGATGCAGAGAGCCCCTGGCAGCAGCTCCTGGAAATGCTGGGAACGCTGACAAGTCAGGGAATTGCATCTCCAGCTCCTATGTGCAGGACACAAATGATTGACAAGAAGTGAATATTTAAAAATCTGGACGTGACAAAGGAGAAACTCCTACTGCTCTTCCTTCCAGAGCTGCTCTTTCATTCTACAGAAGCTCTGTGAGCTCAGCACATGGGGAATGTGCAACCTCCAGAATAAAGTCTCCTGGTTTCATTCCTGGTGTCTCAGATCCCTTCTCAAACTGCCCAAAGGACTCTGGAGGGTTTATTCTCTCCAGCTACACAGGACACAGGCAAGAAAGGATTTCCCCATGTGCTGTCACTGGCACCAGCTCCTTTCAGCTGCTGGAGGGGTTCAAGGTTTGCTGTGAAATCAGTAAGTGAAATGATTTAACATTGAAATACAGTCATTCATTTCCATGGACCTTTTCCAAAAGCAAGCTGGCTTGGAGTGAAATGATGCAATTCCATGAAGATGCTGTTTTGAGCAGTTTAAAAGGCCCCAGAGGCCCTGCCAGGGCCCAGAGGCAGCTGGGGGCACACAGTGACCGTGCCCCTCGTGTGAGCAGGGAGCAGGGCATTGCTCCATCCCAGCTGCTCCTCATCCCAGCACTCTGCAGCTGCTGGGATTGCCTTCATGGACACCAACTGTGCCTCAGCCCTCCAAGTGAAATTCCTCAATCTCTGCCCTCCCACAGGATTCCCTCCCTCTGCAATCTCCCCTGGCTCTGTGCTGCACAGCAGTCCCTGAGTTTAGCTAAAGGCAAAACAGCAAAACAGCTCTGGGGGCTGGGAAATTGTGGGAATTTCGTGGTGCTCTGCAGCTTTTTGGGGCTCTGAGGATGGGAGGATGAACTCACGGATGCTCTGCCAGGCTCTCAAAGCCGCCCAGACTTACGCCCACGGTGAACACCTGTGGGAGAAAGGGAAGGAGGTTATGGATTCATGGACAGAGAGCTCACAGAATCAGGGAATATCCTGAGCTGGAGGTGCCCACAGGTATCACTGATCCAGCCCCTGGCCCTGCACAGACACCCCAACAATCCCACCCTGAGCATCCCTGGCAGAGCTGTCCAAACCCTCCTGGAGCTCCGGCAGCCTCGGGGCTGGGACCTCTTCAAGGACATTGAGGCAAATAGAAAGTTTAGGGACCTTTCTTCCCCTCAAGTTTTTCTATAATAACTTTCATATTATAAATTGTATTAGCTGTAATTAGGGAATAAAGGGCACATCTGGCAGGGAAGAGCTAAGATTGAAAACAGACTCATCCTGCCCCTGGATCCCTGGGAGTGTCCCAGGCCAGGCTGGAGGGGGTTGGAGCACCTGGAACAGTGGGAGGTGTTCCTGCACATGGCAGTGGTGGAATGGGAGGAGGTTTGAGGTCCCTTCTCACGCAGAGCAGTCTGGGATTCCATGGAATGACTTTCCTCCCAGCCCAGTGACAAAGTGTTGCTGTCCAAGTCACAAGGCTTGGATAACTGTCCCCCTTCCTCTGGGCCACATCCCTGACATTTCCTGCCAAAGCCAGCCGATCTCCTGGGCCAGGAGTCAATGCTCTACCTCACATCAAAGGATATTTTGTAGGCAAATCCCATTTTCAGTAAACTCATTAGCAGGGGATGACATCAGCTGGCAAGGAGTGTGGCGATGAGAAGCAAGTTCTAATCCACTTATCACTGGCTGTTCTTCCAAGAACAAACCAGCAGAAAGACCAGGGCAAATGCCAAGTAAGCAGGGTTCAGGACACAAACACCTCCTGGGCACAGGCAGAGTGCACAGCTGGCCAAACACCAGCACAGGCTGGGCCAAGGACCCAGCCAAGCATTCCCAGAGCCAGGGGCTCCCTCAGTGCCTTTCCCCCTGAGCGCACTCTGCAATGTTCCAGCAGAGCTGCACCAGCCCCAGCTGCCCAGCCCTGCAGAAAGGCCTTTGCCAGCAGCAGCTCCTGGGCTGAGCTGGACACCCTCACCCTGGGAGCAAACAAACAAACAAACAAACACTCCCAGGGGGATGAGGGGTCCCTTTGTTCCCTCTCATTCACCCCATGGACAAATTATCCCTGATTTATAGTGGGATTTATGGGACACACCCAAAGGACTTGGCAAGAAAAGCTACCGCACCCTGCCCTCAGCAGGGCAGATTCAGGTCCCTCTGAGGGTGATTTTATTGACTTTGTTTTACCTTCAAGTTCATGAGAAAGGCAAAGGCATTTTCTTTTTTCCCTTTGATGTAGAAGCTGACCATCCCAGAAATGCCTGCACACTGCTTCTTCATCACCTCGTACTGAGGGTGGGAAGGCAGCCCTGGAATGGAGAGAGTTGGGAGAATTCCCAGTGAATGCCAGTGCAGAGCTGGGGCAGCTCAGCCTCAGCCAGCCCATCTCTGGGCACCACAGCCCCCCAGTCCCTGCTCACCCACCTGGGTACATGACCTTCTCCACCCTGGGATGGGATTCCAGGAACTTGGCCACAGCCAGGCCGTTGTGGAAGTGCAGCTTCATCCTGATGTGCAGAGTCTTCAGCCCCCGGTTGCAGAGGAAGCAGTCAAAGGGAGAGGGGACAGCTCCCAGGGCTGTGGGAATGGGAACAGAATCCCAGAGAATCACACAGAATCCCAGAGAATTCCACAGCAACACTGGTGTTCTGCATTCAGCACAGCCAAACACATCCTCACCTCCAGCATTGCTGACCTTGGCACAAGTGGGAACACAGCCAAGGCAATCTCCAATCCTCATCTCCCACATGGGGCAGCCAATTAATGAGGCCAATTAACAGGCTCAGGCCTCAAGGATTACATTATTTATTGGGCACAGTGCACCCTCAGTGCAGAGGGCACAACCCTGGACAGGAATTTATTCCTGACAATGAAGAGGCCGGAAAATTGCTGGAATCATGCGAGGCAGGACAATTCTGCATTGGGCACACCCTGATGGGTGAGGGAGCTCCAAACCCCCCAGGCTGCAGGGGGCACCTCAGTGCTTTCAGGATGGGCCCCAGTGCTCTCCTGGAGTGCTCAGGAAGGGGAGATCAACGTCTCTCATTTTATGGGACTGTTCTATTGAGCTTTCCCAGCTCTGTTAATTTACATTCCAGGCTGATTTCCCACTTGTGTGCATGCCCACCCTCCCCAGCAGGAGCTGTGGATGTGAACAGGATTCCTGTCAGGAATTCCCTGTCTGGACTTACAGTACTGCAGGAATTTCAGCTTCTTATAGAGATCATCCCTGTTTACAGAGACCAGGCCCATGAGGACATCACTGTGCCCTGCAAATGACAGGGGACAAGAATGGGATCAGCCCCAGGTGTAAATAAAACCCCTGGGACACCTCCCACCACGCCAGGCTGCTCCAGCCCCAGGGTCCAACCTGGCCTTGGGCACTGCCAGGGATCCAGGGGCCTCCCCACCCTCCCAGCCAGGAATTCCCTCCCAGTCTCCCTCCATCCCTGCCCTAAGCATGTGCTGAACTCTCACACTCACCATTCATGTATTTGCTTGCAGAAGACATACAAATATCAGCCCCCAGGGCCAAAGGACGCTGAAAGGAAAGGAAAATAACATCATCATTCCAGTTTGGGTTCATCCCCAGCCATTCCAAAGGCTCTGAGCTCACACAGGATAAACAAGGGGAGAAACAAACACAAAAACCTGAGCATGACAATAGAACATGTGCTAAAGGCAGCAGTACAGGGAGGCACTCTGAATTCAAGGGAAGCACAAGAAAATGTGATTTAAGAGCACTGCTGCCACTCCCACAGGCTCCAGGGAGAGAAGAGATTGAGCACACCCAACACACAGTGCAGAGCTGGGAAAACAGTTCTGCAGCTGAGCTGGGGCAGGGACACACCATGGCACGGAGCCCACAAAGGGCATTTCCATGGGAAATGAGGGACTCCAGCTGCACAGCAAAAGAGTTGCTTTGCTTTCCAGCTGTTGCAGATCCTGCCCTGGGGGAGCTGGGAGCATGAGCAAAGGAGCTTCCTTTGGCAGCTCTCTGCCCTCAGTCCCAGTGCTCTGCCCAGGAGCCTCCTGAGGGGAGACAAACCAGGAGCTGGATGGGCAAGAGGGGCTGAGCAGTGCCAGATTTTTAATCAATCACTAATTAAGGCACTTTGCACCTGGTATCAGCACATTCTAAAGAGTGAGGGGCATCACTGCTAAAACAGAACAAAGCAGGCAGATTCTAGCCCACAGTGAGAGCAACAATGCTTGGAAGTTCATAATTCTGAAGCATTTGTAAAACTTAAATCTCTTCACTTCATGTCTTCCGGTTATCAGTACAGGAAAGTTCTGGCAGTTGTTATGAAGAAAGTTATAAACTTCTGAGTCATATAATCAGCAAAACAGCGAATAAAGAGGTTAAGTGGATGTCTCCAAGAAAGACTGCACAAAGTTTACTCGATATTAGTTTTTCTTCCACTACCTACTGTTTTTTAACTTTGTGGCTCAGAACAGCCCATGAACAGCACCTACAGGAGAATTGATGTAAAAAGGCCAAAGTGAGGGAACCCTTGGTAACTGCTCTGATTTCCAACAGGAAGAACAGCATTCCATCATTCCTGGAGGACAGACACCCCCTGCCCCCCTCACTGGTGCACCAGCACCTGGGCTGGGGCTGAACCAGAGCAGGTGGTTTTGCAATGCAGAGACCAAAGCTGCAGTTCCCCGGTCATGCTTCCCTTCCCAAAAGGGACCTCCAGTCCCACTGGGGCAGGTGACAGTCCTGTCCTTGTCCCACACACCTGGAAATATGGAGACATGAAGCTGTTGTCCACGGCCACCAGCACGTCCTTGACACCAGAGTTGTGTGCCACCTCTGCGCAGGCTTTGATGTCGATCACCTTCAGCGTGGGGTTCGTGGGGCTCTCGAGCCAAACCAGCTGCACAAACCCAAAACAACTCCAGGTCACAGAGCTCCCAGTGCTGGGCTGAGTCCCAGGGGCTCTGGGTGCCCAGTGCTGGCAGCTCCCCGTGGCTTTGGGCCCTGGGGACGGGCAGCGGCCCTGCCAGAGCCAGGGGAGGCTCCAGCGGCTCCTCCGAGCCCAGGGAGCTTTCCCTGCGGCCGGGCTCGTGCCATCCCAGCTGGAGAAGGGCTCAGCAGCAGGACAGAGCCTTTCCCAGAGCCTTGCCCAGCACAGTTCCCTTCCCCTGGGGCAGGGATCACCCAGCAGTGCCACGGAGTCCCCCGGCTCCGCGCTCGGCGCTCCCTCTGCTCCCCCTCACCTCTGTCCTGTTCCCTCCTCTCTGCAGGGCTCTGCCCTTCTCAGGATGCTGCCCATGAGGGGCACAGGGGGATAGGGTGGGTGCAGCTGTGCCCCAAGCTGCCCCCTCAGCTCAACACAGCCCCAACCCAACAGGAGCAAGGATAAAACAATTTAACGTCCCTTTAAAGTCCACTTCCCTCTCCCCTACCTTGGTCTTGGGATGTTCCTCAATTGTTCTCTTCAGCAGTTTTAGGTCTCTGCAGTCAACATAAACCACTTTCAAATGAAACTCCTCTTCTATTCGGTCAAATAAATTTCTCGTGCCTTAAAAACCCAAAAATCACAAAATGAAAAACGTCTTTAACTTTCATTGCCTGCTCTGCAGCCTCCTGCATCAGTCAGGAGGGCACAGCTTGATGCTGCACACCATCCATGGCACGTTTATATTTTCTTTATTTACAAAGTTTAAAGATTGTTGCAGATTGAGTGATCATGAAATAGTTATAATTTAAATATGGGATCAGAGTGATTTGGGAAGTACTTGAAATCAATGTGGGGTTTATGATCAGGAAATTAAACACAGAAGAACAACCAAGGAGAACACTCCAGCTACTGTTTCCCATCACTACAATCAAAATGATTCCTTCCCGTCTTTGGAGCCTTTCCCAGGGAAGATTAAAAGAATCCAGCAGGTGATCAATGGATGTGCAGCACTCACTACCAGAAACACTGCCTGCATTAAAAATTCATTGGTTGGGTCCTTTTGCCAAGCTGATCCCCAGGGACTCAGTTTTCCATCTGAGCAGGAAGGGATGGGACATGGAGGTGGATTCTGGGAGCTGAAGGGAACATCTGAGTGATGTTTGGGAGGTTCTTTTGTGAGAAACCCTTTCTTTGGAACAAACCAAGGCAGAGGAGGAGCAATGAAATTCAGCCCTGCAGAAAGCAGGCTGAGGCTCCAAGGAGCAGGGGAAAGCTCCCAGGAACTGCAGTGAGCTCACCCTGCTCAGACAGGGACTCTGGCAGAGCTGGGTGCACTCTGCCACTGGGGAGCTGTGAGGAGAGGGATTGATAAAAACAGGCTTCAAAGAACAGCGAGGTCCTACAGGGGAAATTCAGAGTTCCTGAGAGCCACAGACATGTTTGAGCCCCTGCACAAACAAGGCTGAAGCCACTGGGTGCTGTACCCACCTTGATACAACTCGTCCATGCAGATAACTGTGTCCCCTGGGTACAGCAGGAAACAGATGTTCGAAATAGCTGCCATGCCAGAGGAATAAGCCAAGCCTGGAGGAGAAAGGATCACCAGTGTTTGATGTGACACAACAAGTCAGACTTGCCTTGGTGTTCCTTCCTTTGCTTCTGCAAAGAACCTGTTCTGTCACTGCCTCACTGGGAACGTGGAGCCAGTGAAACCAGGGGATGGACGTGGACAGCATGGAACCAGGATGGACACTGGGATACACTGGGAATAGACTGGGACATACTGGGAACGGACTGGGGCCAGGGGCTGCCTGCTCCCACTGCTTCCAGTGCTGCTGCACAAGGATGGATCCAGCTCAGCCCAGGCATCAGCCACACTGAGGGAGCAGCAGACAAACCCAGGCATGGAGCTGGACTTTGCTGAAGCTGTTGGGCTTTTCCCCACCTTGGAGCTGCTCCTGCCACAGCCAACAGCCAGAGCCGTGGTGAGGGAATCATGGAATGGTTTGGGATGGAGGGACCCCAAAGCCCACCCAGTGCCACCCCTGCCACGGGCACAGGGACACCTCCCCCTGTCCCAGGCTGCTCCAAGTCCTGTCCAACCCATGAGGCACTCACTGTATTTGGCTCCATCGAGGGTGGACACAACCTTCTCCAGGACATGCCTGTTCGGATTTCCAACCCTAGTGTAACTATACTCCTGCTGTGGGGAAGAGGAAACAAACATCAGAGAGAGCACTGGGAAAGCTTGGGATAAACCGCTCCGGATCGCCGCCCGCAGCGGGAACAGCGAGCCCCGGGCTGGCTCGGGCTGGAAGGGAGCACAGCGGCTCCTCCGGTGCCACCGCCGCTCAGCAGGGCGGTCCCGGAGCACAGGCACGGCATCGCGGCCGGGCGGCTCTGCAATGGCCCCGTGAGCAGCCCCGCTCCCGGCACAGCGAGATGCTCGCGTCTGCCCAGGAGCTGCCACGGGGGGAAACATCCGCGCCGGGAGCTCCCTGCCCTGCCCAGGCCCTGCCGCCTCCCGTTCCTCCGGCCGGGACACGCCGGGGCCGCAGCGGGGCTCGGTGGCCCCGTGCTGGCCACACTCACCTGCTCATCCCCGGGCACTCGCTGCTTGAAGGTGGTGGAGAGCGTGATGGGCGGCACTACGGCCTTGGAATTCCACTGCTCGGGCTCCTGCGCGTAGTGGATGGCATTGGTGGCGAAGTGAGGGAAAGGCTTCAGGAAGCCCAGCGCGTTGCTACCTGCCATGGTCGCAGCTCTGAGGGACCGGCCCTCAGCGCGGCTGAATTTAGCGACCCCGCGGGCTCGGCGGGGCGCGGTTTTCTCGCCTTCTCATTGGCTGCGGCGCCGGCGGGGAGGGGCTCCCGCGCCCTCCCATTGGCTGCCGGCGGGGCGGGGCCCGCCCTGCACAGGCAGCTCCCTCCCGCTGGGGGGCGCCACGCGCTGCGCGCTGAGGGGCCGCTCCCGGGAGCCTTGCCGGCACCCAGGGGCGCCTTTCCCGGGAGCCGTGCCGGGATCCAGGGGCGCCTTTCCCGGGAGCCTTGCCGGGACCCAGGGGCGCCTTTCCCGGGAGCCGTGCCGGGACCCAGGGGCGCCTTTCCCGGGAGCCGTGCCGGGATCCAGGGGCGCCTTTCCCGGGAGCCGTGCCGGAATCCAGGGGCGCCTTTCCCGGGAGCCGTGCCGGGATCCAGGGGCGCCTTTCCCGGGAGGAACCGGGAATAATCTGACCGCACGGCAATGACCCACAGGGGAGCAGCGTGCTGACTGCCCGGCAGCGCTGCCTGCAGTACCTCAGCACCGGGAATAGCCCCAGCGCGGCACGGGTTGGGGGACCGGCTGGAGCGGCTCTGGGGGAAGGATCTGGGGTCCTGAGGGACAACGAGCTGTGCCCGGCCAGCAGTGTCCATTTCGATCCTGAGGGACAACGAGCTGTGCCCGGCCAGCAGTGTCCATTTTGATCCTGAGGGACAACGAGCTGTGCCTGGCCAGCGGTGCCCAGTGGGATCCTGAGGGACAACAAGCTGTCTATGGGCAGCGGTGCCCAGTGGGATCCTGGGGTACCACAATCAATTCCAGCAGGTCAGGGGTGATCCTGCCCCTGTGCCCAGCCCTGGGGACACCTCTGGGTGCTGTGCCCAGCCCTGGGGACCCCTCTGGGTGCTGTGCCCAGCTCTGTCCCTCAGCACAGCAGGGCAAGAGCTCCTGGAGCTGAGCAAGGGCCTGGAGCATCTCGGTGCCCAGGAAAGGCTGAGGGAGCTGGGGCTGCTCAGCCTGGAGAGGAGCCCCAGGGAGAGGGCCCTCAGCCCTGGCTGTCCCTGGCTGTCCCTGGCTGTCCCTGTGGTGTGCAGGGAGGGGCAGACCAGTGCCCAGGCTCTGCTCTGGGGCCCAGCAATGGCACCAGAGGATTTGGACTCAATGGTCTGGGAAGGTTCTCCCAACCTCAGGGATCCTGAGAGGAGCAGGAATTACCTGTGGCACCAAGATGGGTCCTTAGTGGTCATCCAAACATGCGGAGATGAAAAATACTGCAATATTTCCCTTGTTTTATTATATAGAAAAAAATAGAGACGCTGAATCTGTGTGGATTTTACCAGACACTTTTATGGATAAATACACTGCTAAAATATCACCTCTGTACCGTGTCATATTTTATAGGTTATAGCAAACCCTTGTTACCTGAGTGAGGGTCTGGGTGTGCCATGTGGTCAAGGGTGTGGACCTCAGGGAATGAAAAACACAGCCACAGCTTTGGATGGTAGAAATTAATATCTCTGCTGTTTGCTTCTACAACGTGAGATGTAGAAACTGAATTTTGTGTTCACAGTGCAGAAAATTACGTTTTCGTAGTTGGTGTTGCCAGGCTGGTTTACTACAGGAAAATTTGTGATTTTGCAACACATTTAAATGTGTTTTCTGCTGGTTGGGAATGAGATATCCAGAGATCTGTGTGGGGACACGGACAGGGATAAAAATACACTTTTATGATGATTTTCAATGTCCGAATGAAATGTTGATTTTATCCATCATTGCAGCCTCTCTGATAAAAACAAGTCTAGAACTACTCAATACTCTGGTGCTTCCCAATCGTCCCCATAATTTCTCATAGAAGACTACAACACAAAGTACATTCTTTGCCATTTTGACTTTGATATTGTGTTTGACATCAGAGAAACAAATTCTGGACTGGGACATTTGCAGTGACCGAGGAACTCACTCAAATGGGACGTAAGATTTTCCTCATATGGACTCAGAAAATGTTCTCTTAATCCAGGTCCCGTTCTCTGCAATTCCCATAAAATACACCTTTAAGGATTATTGTCAACGTACAAATTGCAGCTTGCTGCTCAGACAAAATCAGCCGCCTTCAGGCCCTTTATCTTACTCAGGAAAATATCTCCCAGAGAAATGAGGGTGTGAGGAGGGTGCGGTGTAACGGAACAGGGTCCGGGCTGTGTTCCAGCCCGCCTCCTGCTTTGGCAGCAGCTGCTGGGGCAGGAGCTGCAGGGCCCCTCTGCTCCAGCTGAGTGGTCACTGCAGGGACAGGGGCTGCTGGCACCGGGCTTCAGCCTCTCCAGAGCAGTGCAGCAGCTCCATGCAGGCACCTCCTTGCTCTGCATAGGCACAGCTTCCACTCCAACAAAACTTGCTTCCAATATTTATAACATAACCGATGAAACTCAAGGGTGAATAATGATAATTCACCTGGAGAATAATCCTTGCCCTGTGACAGAGATTAATTTACCTGCCTTGAACTGAACATGAAAAGCAGTATTTATCAAGGTGATGTTTGATGTGTTTGCAGTTCTGTGGGGACAGAAGGAGAAATCCTGTTGGATGGGCGGGAGAAAATGTGGCACACAATATGAGTGATCAGCAAGTCTGGCACTTTATTGATAGGCATACATATTTATATTGGTGTTAATGGTGCTCATAGATATTGCAATAGCGGGCTCATTATTGGTTAGTTACTTATCAGTCAACTACGCCTACTTCTGCATTCTTGCAGTTATTTCTTGAGATTATACTTCATGTTTTCAGCAAAAGATCCTCTCTCTTATCCTGTTGTTGCACCAAGGGCATGATGTCCTTGCCTCAAATGGACACTGACTACTGACTCCTATACTTGTCTCCTTGCTTAACCAGTGGCATTATGTCTACATGACCTTTCTCAGCTAGCCAACTGTCCACAAAGCTCTCCACACTTCCCCCGTTTTTCTGTTGAACAAGCATGGTCTGATTAAATGCCGTAGAAATCATCTCTTGCACCGTATTTTGTAAGCACATGCAGAAACAAGGCAAAATTAATACTACCAACAAAGCTATAATGCCCACTATAATGCTAACCTTGACAATAGAGCGTAACCATGGTCCCAGGCCTAACGATGAGAGCCATCCATCAATACCGAAACCTGATTCATACAACACATGCCCTCAAATTCTTCCCAGCCATGACCTTGTGCAAGTAAAAGAAAGTCAGTCGCAGCTCTATTTTGAAGCTTTGCATGGCAAATAGAATCAACATCAAGCAAAAGGTTAGAAAGTGCCAAAGAGGTGGCATTGGTTTGCTTTGCAAGCCAGCATCCCAACTTATTTAGGGTGGCATGGGCACCTGCTGCTGCCACCCCTGTAGTCAGAAAGGATGCTGCAATTATGGCCCCTGGGAACCAAAATTTTACATCGTCTTTGCAGTCAGCAGTAAATGCATGGGTCATTCTTTTATTTTGATGACGGCGGCGGCTCATGTTTAATATCATGGACGTATTGGGTGTGAGTAGAGATAACCGTCCAATTGTACATGGTGACCCTAACGTGATCCCTGGCTGAACCCGACGGATCCCTTGAGCCCGGGTTCTGGGCTGACGTGCGCTGTGTGGGAGGCTGGAGTGGGCGTCCCATCCCTAAAGCCGGTATCGATGTGGTGATCCTGGGTTGGGGCGCCTGACTGGTGATGAGGCAGCCGGCCGAGGGGTCAGAGATGGAGCAGGGAAATCCCACGTGAAATCCTGTGTTGCAGTTGAGTTTCACATGTGTCAGGCTGGGCTCCTCCCCGCAGCACCTGGATAAGCTGATGGATCTAATCAGGACAAATACCACCTTGAGGAGGGCAGTGCCAGGCTCGCTGCTGCCCGAGGAGCTTTGCTGCAGCTTCCTTTGCCCCTCGTGGCAGCGGGGCAGGGCTCCTGCAGGATCTGCCATGTGGAGGGGACACAAATTCCTGCTCCTGCTCCGGGGGCCGGGGCTGGCTGTGCCCAGCTCAGGGCCAGGGGCACCCACAGCCTGTTCCTGCTCAGCCAGACTCTGGCTGGGAGAGCAGGGCTGGGCTCAGGCTGGGACCAGGGGTCCCTCCCTGGCAGGGGCTGACAGGGCCTGAAGGGCTCAGGGTGTCCCCAGGCCAGGAGCTGCCTCTGCTCCTGGCAGGGCTCTGCTCTGCCTGCTGCCTTCTGCTCTGGGCTCTGCCATGCAACAGCCCGGCCCTGGGACACGAGTTTCCAGAATTCATCTTTTGCTGATCCTCTCCTTGCCAAACACATGCCTCCCTTCAGACCGGAGTGCTGGCTGGCAGCATGGATATTGTCCTGGAGCTTTAGAGATGGCAAACGTGTGGGTTCCAGGTCCAGGAGATCCTTGGGAAAGCTTCAGAGGTGCTTGTCTGAGAAATTAAAGTCATCACCTGGAAAGGACAATATTTACAGTATCTCTCTGCTTCCATTTCACAGCCTCAGTGTAAATCCTGACTTCCACACAAATTTATTATTTACCTTTGTCGCTGGAGACCTTGTCTGGAGTTATTTATCATATATGTTGTGTGTGATTATATTTCAACTTCAAATTACCACTGGCAGACACGACCATGCCCTGGCATCTCTCTTTAAGAGAGGGAGGCAGGGACACCTCCCTGTCCCACGGTGCTCCATGCCCCATCCAACCTGGCCTGGAACTCTTCTTGCTGATAGTTACAAGCCTGATGAGACACATTTACATCATTCATAAGCCTGATGAGATAAATTTACTTAATTCAGCCTGTGGCATGTCCAAGGAATTGTTCATAACAGGAAGATTTTCTTCCCTCTCCAAGTGTTTCATAATTCTGATAGCATCAGCTCCTGTACAGCCAAACTGCCACATTTGTGCCTTCAGTGAACAGCTGGCACCACACCAGTGGCACACCTCAGGGTTGCTGCCACGCCTGACCAAAAGCTGATGGAGTTTTCTCCAGGGGTTTCTGCTGCTTGTCCCTGTGATGCCAGGGTGGGGTTTTTCAGGTCAGGGCTGACTGTGCAACAAGAGGCAAGAATCTGCTTTGCCATGAGGACTCTCCACCATCCCAGGCTGCAGTAACTGCGTTGGGATTTTGGTGTTTGGGTTCCACAATGGGGAATGGAAGGACTGGGGCAAGATGACCCTTAAGGTCCCCAGCCTTCACTCTGGGATCAGGCTGTATAACAGTAATGTTAATTATTTTCAGCCACACAGTCTGTAAAAGAGCAGAGGGTTCCCAGCCAGTTTTGTGTCTGTGCAGCAGCAGGGCTGGGCAGGGGCTGCTCCACTTTGGGATTCGTTTCTGTGGGTCCCGTCCTGGACATGGGGTTGGGGTGTGGGGAGGGATTTGGGCTGAGCCTCAGCCCTCCTCAGCAGTGCTTGGCCTTGAGGCAAGAGCATCAATCAATGATTGATGATCCCAGGGGAGGCTCCCAGGTAGAGCCTGCAGAAAGTGCTGACCCCGACTGTTTCACTCTGGAGCAGCTCCCAGCCTCCTCCTCTCAGGCCATTCACAAACGGGACTCTGGATGTGTTTGCACCCAAGCTCTGCTCCCCAGGGATGTGACACGGCGTCCAACAAGTGAGGAGACTGCAGGGGCAGGGCTGGCCGGGGCACTCACAGGGATCTCTGCAGTGCTCTGGGGAAGGGGATGGGCCCAGGGAGGCTCAGGTGGGACATTGGCAACATTTCCTCACGGGAAGAGAGGTCACACATTGGAACAGGAGTCCCTGCCCCCAGAGGATTTAAAGCCCCTGTGGATGTGGCACTTGGGGACACGGGGCAGTGCTGGGAAGGGCTGGACTCGATGGGCTCAGAGAGCTTTTCCCCCCAAACAATTCCTTATCCCCATTCTCCTGTGAGAAAGCAGCTTGATCCTGCTGCAGCCTCGAGTGTTCCAATGACTTTCCTAGAGGACAAAGCTGGGATTCTCTCTGCTCTTACAGCTGGATTTCAAGTCTCCTCCTGCTGTCTCCCTGCTCTAAGGAAATGACTCCACAGGGGCAGGAGTTGTGGATTTTTATCCCTGGACAGCCACGAAGCCAGCCAATCAACTGGGAGCATAGGCAGCCTTAGAATTGAGGGGGAGCACCTTCAGGTCCCCAGAAATACTCTTGGAGCCAGTCTTGCTGGCTGTACAGTGAGTTTTCCTTGTGCCCCAGCCTTTCTTTCCTTTGCTCTCAATGTACAAACACCAGCTCAGGTATCCATCCACCCACACTGGGGCACTGCTCACAAAGTTCCTTCCTGCTCATCTCTTCACATTTTGATTTTTGGGCAACAGCTTCTCCACTCCAAGGCAAAGCAAATTGCCTGATCTGGAGTGAAAAGGAACCAGCATCTCCAAAATGTGCAGGAGCTGAAAGATGAGAGCCCTCAACTCCCAGCTCTCGTTGTGGCACTGAGATAACCAGGGGAGAGCTCAGCTGTGCATCTAAACATTTCAACAATCCCTTCTCCCAAGAGTATTATGCATCATTTTTTCTGCGTGCTGAAGGGTAAGGGCTGGATTTTAGGGGTTTTTTGTGTGGTACAGACTTTAGAAAAGCAACATTTTGTAGACAAAGAACCCAATCCGGGCTGGATGTGCCTGGGGGGAAATGGACGTTGGAGCCAAACTGCAGCAATCACCAACATTTCAGTACAATAAAGGGCTTTTTCTTAGGAAAAAACCCAGTTCTGTGGGATTTATCAGCTGCCATCATTTCAGCTGATTTGGTGCTTTTTCGAGCTGAAAGGACTGTGCTTGGACAGAGTTCTGGGAGGGTTGGGGTGGGAAGGGCAGCTGAGGACACCCCAAAAGCTGAGGAATTCTGCATTCCTCCCCCTGAGCACGGGGTTATTCCCTTTCCCTGCACTGGGAAGGATCAGCTCCTGCTCCACTTGCACCTGACTTCTTTTCCCACTGAATTTTGCTGTTAACCATCCATTCCCAGCCCCTCCTCCTGCCCTGATGGGACAACGAGAGCCCCCTGAGCTGTGCCCTCCATGCCCACCCTCTGCCCCGGGCTGCTGGGGAGTGTCAATAACCCCGAGCAGAAAAAGGGAATTTTCTGTCCCCGCTCTCTGGGGGTGCTCCTGGCAGAGCCCTGCAAGAGGGGATCCCCACGGTGCAAATCCTTTGTGATGCCAGGTAGGAAAATGTTCCTTAATTCACTCACTGGTGCTAGTTCTGTTCCTCTCACACAGATTTCTGGGTAGCTCTTCTATAGTGTTTTATAAAACCACGTGCGTGTGCTACTGGCTTGTAAAGTCGTAAAGCAAAACCTTGAAGTCATGAATAATATGACAGTTGTTATGGCTGTAAATCCCTTAACCTTGTAGGCATTGAGTTTATCTGCCTTTTATTACTTGAAG